TCCTCGTCCCCTCCAGTGCCAGGTGGGATAACCTGGGACCAAGCCCAGCTTTGCCTGTCCAGCTCTTCCCGTAAAAATCCAGCACAAACAGCTTCTTCCTGCTGCCATAAATGTCCCCCTGGTTTTTCCCGGGATGCCTCTCTGCCGTGGCATCTTTTCCTTGGCTGCTCTTTGGTGTTCCCTGCAAGCATCCCAAGCTTTTTCAGTGTCCCTGAATTCAGAGTCCAGGCAAAACATGTCTTGGACTTTCTGAGGCTTCTTGTTCCCTTGATGCCCTAAAAGTTACTGGCTTTGGTGGCTTTAAATGAAATCAGTCCAGTGCTGAAAATGTTCTGGAAAACTGTCCATGTTCCAAAAGGGAAGGTGCTGCTTTTCCCTGCCTTTTGTTGCTGGTTTTCCTCCCTCTCTGCAGTAGCTGATCCTCAGGATTTCTCTGCTGCTCCAGCTGGGACCGAGCAGTGCTGCTTCGGGGCTTTTTAGTGGTGTCTGAAGTGTTGTGACCAGTCCTGGAGGGAATGTGATCCCGAGGAGCACATCCTTCCCAGGGACTTCTGCTCTTCCAGGTCGGGGGACTGGAAGTGGTTTCTTCTGGAGTTTCAGCCCCTTGTCAGCTGCCATTTTGGTTTTGATGTGGTTCCTAATCAGGGCCTTGATGAGCTGCCTCCTGAGGGAATTAAGCAGAAAGTCTGGGTGATGCCAATCAGGGCCTCAGGACCTTGGAGCCTGAGGAGAGAAGGATCCAGGGAAACCTGAGAGCCCCTTCCAGGGCCTAAAGGGGCTCCAGGAGAGCTGGAGAGGGACTGGGGACAAGGCATGGAGGGACAGGACACAGGGAATGGCTTCCCAGTGCCAGAGGGCAGGGATGGATGGGATATTGGGAAGGAATTCCTGGCTGGGAAGGTTGTCCAGAGAAGCTGTGGCTGCCCCTGGATCCCTGGAAGTGTCCCAGGCCAGGCTGGAGCAACCTGGGCTGGTGGAAGGTGTCCCTGCCCATGGCAGGGGGTGGCACTGGATGGGCTTTAAGGTCCCTTCCCCCCAAACCATTCTGGGATTCAGACATAAAAGGCCCATCAGGAAAATAAAAACCTGTTTGGGTTGATCCACTTGGTTTCTCCCAGGAGAAAATATTTCGGAGGTGCCACACAACTTCCTAGTGGAAACACCTGTGGAGGACAGGAGGGAGGGAAGGCCCCTCACTGGGGACTTTTACATGAATGTCCCTCAAGAAAAACTGAAGCTGAGCTGAAGCTGATGCTGCTGGAGAGATCCTGGAACCCCAGAGCCCCTGAGGTTGGAAAAGCCCTCCCAGCCCATGGATCCACCCTGGGCCCCATCCCCACCTTGGCCCCCAGCCCAGAGCACTGAGTGCCACGGCCAGGCCTTCCTGGGACACCTCCAGGGATGGGCACTGCAAACCTCCCTGGGCAGCCCCTGCCAAGGCCTCACCACCTTTTCCATGAGGAAAGGTGAGCAGGGACACCTTCCACCGTCCAACCCGGCCTTGAGCACTTCCAGGTGTCCTCCTTGGGACTCTCTGCTCTTGCCCCCCATCCTTTGGGCTGTGTGGGGTCAGGGCCAGGCGGGGGGATCGTTACCTAACCCGGGATCACGTCACGGGGCTGTGGGGGCGGCCCTGGGGGAGTGGGAGCTCCTCGCCCCGGCCCGCCCGGCTCGGGGTGCGGCTGTTGGCACTCACTGGAGCCAGGGGTGCCATTCATCTGGCAGAGGTGGGGGCGGCTCTGGGAGCAGGGGATGAATCACAGCTCCATTGACTTCACTCCCAGCTCTCCATTGAGTCTAAAAGGAGCCTGGAGCCGTCGCTGGGGGTGCTCGTGTTCTCCTCGCCCACGGTTAACTCGCTGCCTCCCGGGGCCCCTGGAGGGGATGGATCCAGGGCCTGGACAGCATTCCTGGGGCTGTATCCCCAGTCAGGCCCTCATCCTGGCTCACCAAAGGGTGGCACAGCTCTGAGGTGGTGTTGGAGGCCTCTCCTGCCTCCAGCTTGCCCAGGCTCCTTCTGCATCTCCCGTTTTCGTTTCCATAGTTTTCCCTGCAGCACTTTGCGCTTTTCCTTCATTCCCTGCTGTTTTCCAGACCGTTTCTCCAGTGGCAGCACCACGTGAATCCAAACCTGCTCTTCCAACGTGCTGCTGCCCTCTCTACTGGGACCTTCTGCACACTGAAGTTCCCTCTCTGTTCCCTCCTAACTCTTGGTGAGCACGTTGAGCTCATCCCAAGGCAGACCCCGGTGAAATCCCACTTGATCCATCCTTGCGGTTCAGCACTGAAAAATGTGTCAATGCAGCTCTTTCCTCACCTTGCAGAGGTTTCTATCCCCTTGGTTTTTTATGGGAATGCCTTGTGAGAGCGTGGGGAATGCTCAGCTGCCATCAGGCTCCGTGTGGCAGCTCTGCCTTTCCCATGTTCAGGAGACCCGTTATTGTCACCCAGAAATTGGTTTCCTTTGGCACATCCCGTCCCCTCCGATCCATTCCACCTCCTGTTTGTCACCTGGATGGTTTATTAAACCTCTCTGCTGTTTGTTAGAGGGTTTGCCAGGGAATTAAAGATGAGTTGCTTCGTTTTAGGCTTCCTTTGATCTTTCTGCTGCCTGTTTATAAAGATGAGCATCATCCTTTGTGCGGCTCTCCGGGAATGCCGAGCGTGCCAGGTGAGCTCTGAGACAGCCATGGCACGAGTCAGGCACTTTCTGCCACCTCAGTGAGTTTTTCCAGGCCCAGAGAGTTGAAATAAACTCTAAATTCTTCCAGCTGCTGGTTTTTTTTTTTACTGGAAAGTCAGAGCTTGGCTTTGCTGTTCTGATGCCAGCAGGAGTTGACTGGAGCTGGTTTGTACAGACCTAACCATGATATATTTGAGTTGTTCACTTGATAGGTCATGGAATTATAGAATGGTTTGGGTTGGAAGGGACCTTAAAGATCGTCTAGTCCTGCCCCCCACGGGCAGGGAACCTTCCACTAGACCAGGTTGCTCCAAGCTCTGTCCTAGATCATAGAAACCTGGAATTGTTTGGATTGGAAGGGACCTTAAAGCCCATCCAGTGCCACTTCTGCCATGGGCAGGGACACCTTCCACCAGCCCAGGTTGCTCCAGGCCCCATCCAGCCTGGCCTGGGACACTTCCAGGGATCCAGGAGCAGCCACAACTGCTTGGATTCAGGAATTACAGTGTGAGGTTGTCCCACTCTCCTTACTTGGACAGGAGGGTTGTGTCACTGGAATGACCTTTCCCAGGCATGGGAATCTGCTTCCAGAGGGCTGCCCTGCACCTGGAAAGGAGGATTTTGTTGAAGGGGGGAGAGTTTCACACCTAATGAGGAGCAGCTGCATAACCAGCTCTGCTTTTGGGGCAGGTGATGTGTGAGGTGACACGAATGGGGGGATCCACGACACCCTTAAAGTGCTTCCCAGTTCTGTTGGAGTTTCTCCATGTCTGGGTACTTCGTTGCATGAAGTCCCTGGGTTTTCAGATTCCCTGTTTTCCATGGATAATGTGGAAGCACATCCATAATTACAGCACGAAGTGACATATCAGGGAATTGCAGGGAATTCAGGCTCTGTGTCGCTTTACATTCCACGGATGATGTTTGTATGTCCTCGTATGTAATCCCCGTGTGCATCAGCTTTTGGGATGCCCTTCCCCAGCTCTGGAAAACGCAGGAATATTTCCATATTCCTTGTAGGAGCTGTCGTGGCGTTGCCGGCAGAACTGGTGGGATTGGGATGCCTGGAAATGCTGCAGGTGGGCGGATGCAGAGGAGGGTCCTGTCCCGGTGCCCGTCGGTCACGGGGAGCACACACGGGAACGCGGTGATCCCTGACCTTCCCACCCCTGTGCCAGCCCTCCGGGTCTCTGCGGGTGGCACGGGTGTCCCTGGCAGGTGATCCCTTCCCTCCGGAGGGGCAGGAGGAGCGGGGAGAGGGAGAGGCGTGTGCCGGCCCCGGTACCGCAGTGTGATTCCCGCTGCTCCGTGCCAGCTCCTGGATACACATCCCCTCCCTCTGCCCCCTCGCTCTGCCCGTGCCGTGGCAGGGAAGCTCGGGGGGGGATTCGTTCCCACTGCCACGCTCCGGGCAGATCCTTCGCCGCCCGTCCTGGCCCTGCCGAGGATCCTCCCCATCCCCATCGCTCCCATCGCTCCCATCACTCTCCAGCACAGCGGGAAGGGGATGCAGCAGCCCCTTCACCCGGGGACGAGCAGGGGATTCGCTTCTCCATCTCTTGATCGCTCCCCATCCCTCCCATCTCTCCCCATCACGTTGGGAAGGGGATGCAGCAGCCCCTTCACCCGGGGACGAGCGGGGGGCTTCACTTCTCCATCTCTTGATCGCTCCCCTTCTCTCGCACCGCTCCCATCTCTCCCATCTCTCCCTCCTCGCCGCTCCCGCTTCGGCTCCTTGTGCCACCTCCCCCCTTTCCCGGCGCTGCCGAGAGCCGGACCCGGGTCCCTGATTAATTCGGCTCTGATGTCAGACATGCGGCTCTGCTGGGAGGGATTTGCAGGGCTGCGTTTGCTCCGAGCGTCCCCCTCCCGCGCCCCCCGCCCCTCCCGCCGCGCGTCGATGGCATTTGGGGAAGGGGCTGCGGTGGGCGCCGGCCCCGCGGAGCTGCCGCCGCCCCACCCGCCGCTGGATCCTCCCGGTTCTTCCCCGCCGGTGCCTTTTGTTAAAGTGGGACAAGGAAATGCATCCCCCCTGCTCCTGGCAGACCGTCACTTAGCAACGCGGCGGGGAGGGGAGGCGGGGGGATTTTAGGAGAAGATCCGAGCGCCGGGATGAGGATTTAAACTCTGCCGTGCTCAACTCACCAAAGAGGCACCTTCTCCTTTCGTCGAGCAGCCGATTTTTTTTTTTCCGCGTGAGAGGCACCCGGGAAGTCTGAGAGAGCCGATCCCCCGATGCCCCCCCACGCTCCGGGCAGCCTTTAAAGGGGATCCCGAGGGGATCTGTATCCCTGCATTCCTATGCAGGTGACTGCGAGGGGGCCCGGTGGGCAGCAGGGTGATCCAGGCAGCCGGGGCTTTCCTCCTCCTCCTCCTCCTCCTCCACGCTGAGGGAAAGTAGCTTTTCATCTTTTTTTCATTCTGACTTTGGGCAAAAGGGAGGGGAGGGGAAGCAGCTTGAGCCCAACTCCCCGCTGAGATGAGACGGTGGATGAGAAGAGGTCTCCTTGTCACAGGCACAAAGGCCACCTCCGCCTGGCAGCATGGTGCTGAAATCTAACCCTGGCATCATTCTCTTGTGCTCTTTCCTGCCCAGTGACTACATCATTGAGGAGAAGACGGCCGTGCTGCAGAAGAGGGAGCATGAGGGATTCGGGTTTGTATTGCGAGGGGCCAAAGGTAAGGGCTGCTTCTTTCGCTGGCTCTGGGGCTGGGGCGGGAAGCGCCTTCTCCTCACCCTGCCCGGGCTCCGGATCCCCAGATTCCCGTGCCCGGCAGCCCTGGGAATTAGGGGCTCTTTAGGGGACTCTCTTCTCCGGCTCTCTCCTTGCCCGGGTGCCGTCGTGGCGGGCGGGTGTCGCTCACACTTTCCGGGGCTTTGGGATCCCAGGAATGTTCACTCCCCCCTGTTCCCCGGGAGCGTGACCCGGGTGCAGCCCCGTGGCATCCCTGGCGTTTTCGGTTCAAATGCTGCAAGTGTTTCGCTGTACTTTGGCTGTGGGGAGTTGGGGGTCCTTTGAGGAGCCCTGGTCGTGCTGGGGTTCCCGAGGGAAAACCGGGAGAGGTGTGTCCCGCGGCTCCCACCGTCCCTTTGATCCCGTGCCGCTCATTCCCGGGGCGCCCCGGGGTGCTCCCGTGGCCGGACCTGGGGTGGGTGGTTCCTGTGGCTTCTCCTGCCAGAAATCCATCTTTGTGCTGCAAAAAAAAGAGGCCCTTGGGGACCGGGAATGAATGTGCTCGTACGGATACAGGGAACGGGCTTCAGCTCCCGTGCTCGGGAGGCAGGAATGCCTCCGGCTGGAGAACCCTGTCCTTCCCCGGCACTTCCAGGCTCTTGGAAGCAGAGGGACAGCGGGAGCAGGGGGACAATGGTGCAGCTCTGTCCCTTCCATGTAGGATGTAGCAAGGTGTGGGAGGGAAAGCTGGAAGCAGCTCCCTGGGTAGTGCTGCTCCTTCCCCGGACCTCGGTGCGGCTGCGGATTCGGGCTTTGATCTCCGGGGGGGGGGTTTTGGGGGGGGATTCCTGGATCGCCTTTGTTCTGCCCATGGAAGGGCTCGGTGCCCGTGGGTGTGTTTGCATCCCTGTTGGAATATGGTTGCTGTCTCTTCCTCCCTCTCTCTCTCCCCTTCCCTATGGATGTGACATACGTGTCTGTCCGTGTGTAGCATGAAGTGAAACTTCACGGCTCAAAATGGCATCCATTTTTTGTCCGGATCGATCTTGCCCCTATTGTGTTGGGAAAAATGGATACATTTAGTCCCGTTGCCCATTTTTTCCCCCCCTTTTTTTTTATTTTTTTCTTCTCTGCCCTCCCGACGTTTGCAGGCTCTGCCTCTCCCTTTGTCTGCCGAGGCTGAAGGCAGGACCGGGAGCGGATGGAGTGGGCGTGTGGCTGTGTGGGATTTGGGAATCCTGGCAGTGCTGCAGGGCACCGGGAAGCGCGTGGCTGCAGAGGGTCGTGGCGTGGAAGCCGTCGGGAGCGTGGGCACGGTCTGGGAGGCTCCCCGAGCCCCTCAGGGAGCAGCGTTCCCTCCACAGGGAGGGGAATGTGGTGGATCAGGTCCCCCCCGTGTTTCCCAGCCCCTCATCCCGGTGCTCCGTGGGGTTTGGGCTGGAAGGAGCTCTGGGACTCTCTGCGTGGCCCCGTCGGTGTCACCACCGCTCCATTTAGGGAAAACCGCTTAAGGAATCGTGGTGTGAAAGAGGAAAAGGGGTCTGGAAATGGGGGGATCAGAGGATCATCCCTTGCAGGGGTGGGAGATGGATATTGTGGATGATCCTCAAAGGAATCTGCTCTTCATGCCACAGGGAGGGTGTGAAAATCCTTCCTGGCTTCTCTCAGTCCTGCTGAGGGTTCGTTCCTTCCCCAGCCTGAATTTGTCCCTGTGAACACCTCCAGGAAGAGGGCTCAGGCTCTGCACCATCCTGGAGAACCAGCCCTTCCCAGCCCATCCCGTCTCCACCTCAGCCCCGTTCCAGAGGAGGTGACATCCCAGTCAGACCAGCTGAGCCTTTGGACAGAGCTTATTTTATTTCATCCTGGTCTCTGCAGGGGATGAGCTGCAGCATTTGGACCTGGGGCTTCCCTGCAGCCATTGCCTGGGAATACCCAGAGGAGCAGTGGCTGCCCCTGGATCCCTGGAAGGGTCCCAGGCCAGGCTGGAGCAACCTGGGACAGTGGAAGGTGTCCCTGTCCATGGCAGGGGTGGCACTGGATGGGATTTAAGGTCCCTTCCCACCCAAACCATCCCGGGATTCCATGATTAGGGAATGATTAGGGAATCCTGTGGAGCAAATGGATTGCTCCAGCTGTGGAGCAGCCCCTTCACCCTGTGATGAGCCAGAGGATTCACTTCTCCATCCCTTGGCCCAGAGAGGTCCCAGCCCGTCACACACTCAAATCAGAGACCTGCTCAAGGTGCTGAAAGACATTTCTTGGCTTACAACAAGGTCAGGTTGGGGCTGAGGAGGAATTTGTTGCTGGAAAGGGTGGTGAGGCCTTGGCAGGGGCTGCCCAGGGAGGTTTGCAGTGCCCATCCCTGGAGGTGTCCCAGGAAGGCCTGGCCGTGGCACTCAGTGCTCTGGGCTGGGGGCCAAGGTGGGGATGGGGCACAGGGTGGATCCATGGGCTGGGAGGGCTTTTCCAACCTCAGGGGCTCTGGGATCCTGAACTCACCAGTCAAACCTTCCATGCCCAAACTGGAGCATCTCCCTCTTCCCGGCCAACCCATCAGGCACTGTCTGTTTGGTCATTTAATCCCTAAAATATTCCTGAGCTGGGGCCATCCTGTGAGCAGAGGGTGTTACAGCTCCCTCAGGGACTGCTCCTCACACGCCATCTCCAAATCCACTCTGCCCATTCCTGGGCAGGGGAATGGCATTCCCAGGCCAGTCAGTGCCAGTTGGCATCTGGTTGTGGTGGGTTTTTGTGGGAGCAGAGGCACAGGGAGCACCTGACTTGGGAATTTACGCTCTAAGGAAGGAGTAGATCCTATCCCTGGAAGTGTTCCAGGTCAAGTTGGCCAGGGCTTGGAGCAACCTGGGCTAGTGGAAGGTGTCCCTGCCCATGGCAGGGGTGGCACTGGGTGGGCTTTAAGGTTCCTTCCAAACCAAATCATTCTGGCATTCTATGATTTTATGGATAACAAGGATAGCACCATTAATACCAACAATGTATTAAAAAAAGGAAAAGGAGATGGCTCCAAGACTTTGCTCAAGGGCAGAGCTTTTGTCTGTTTGTCTGGGGAGAGCCAGGTTATTCCCAAAGTTCCAAGGTTATTTCATCTTGTGGTTTGTGTGTCCCCTGATGCAGCTGATCCCATGGGAAGGAGAGTCCATGCTGATCCCCTGCAGGGCTCAGTTTGCTCCTGATACTTCCCAAAGCATCAATCTCCTCTCCCCAGGCAGGTGCTTCACCTGCATCTGCCTCAGCACGGGACCCACACCCGTTTTCCAGGTTTATCCCACCTCACCACAGCTCCCAGACCCTGCTGCTCGTGGAGCAAGTGCCTGCCCTGGTCCCCAGAGCCCAGAGACCCCCATATCCTCCTCTGCCCCTCAGTGCCCCTCCTGTGCCTGGTATTGATCCCACCTTGGAGCACAATTCCAATGAGGAGCAGCTCAGGGAGCTGGGAAGGGTCTGGAGCAGCAGGAGGGGCTGAGGGAGCTGGGGGGGCTCATCCTGGAGCAAAGGAGGCTCAGGGGGGACCTTCTGGCTCTGCAAGTCCCTGCCAGGAGGGGGGAGCTGGGGGGGGTCGGGCTCTGCTGCCAGGGAACAAGGGACAGGCCAAGGGGAAACGGCCTCAGGCTGGGCCAGGGGAGGGTCAGGTTGGATATTGGGGAAATTCCTTCCTGGAAAGGGTTTTCCAGCCCTGGCACAGCTGCCCAGGCAGGGATGGAGTCCCCCCTTCCCTGGAGGATTTCCAAGCCCTGTGGATGTGGCACTTGGGGACGTGGGGCAGTGGTGGCCTTGGGGGAACAGTTGGACTTGATGTCTTGGAGGCTTTTCCAACCTCAGTGATTCCAGGATTCCCTGATTCCACCTGGTTTTGCCATGTTTCCAGTTTGCTGTTCAGCCTCAGCTGTTGGGTTTTCATCCCAGCCAGAGCCACTGGGATCACAGACACTTGGATCCCTCAGGGAATTCCATAAGGGCTCAGCACTTGCCGGGATCTGTGGGATTAGTGGATCCTCTGAGAGAGGTTTAGTCCTTTCCTGTCCTGTGAGAAGCTCAGGAGCCCCTTCCCAACCCTGGGAGGGTGTTGAAGGAAGTGCAGTCAGAGCTCAGGGATCTTCCCATTGGTCTGGGAAGTGGGAATGTTGTCCCCAAGCCCTGCAGCAAGACTTTGGGATACAACACTGGCATCATCATGGAAATGAAGAGCTCAGTGATGGTTTCCAGACCTTGGCTCTTGTGCAGAGGAGTTCTGGGACACTTGGTGACCCTCAGGAAGGACAGGAATTGGGACTGGGGGTGTTGGGTCATCCCTGTTGAGGGTGGTGTGATCCTTGTGGAGATCTAGTGGAAAACCGGGAACAAGGCCCAGCAGAGTCTGGAATTTGGATTATCCCACTCTTTTAGAAGAACCTTAGGAATTTAAACACCCAGGAGCTGATTTTAATTCCCTGCCCCAAGGAATGGGGGGTGAGGAGCAGGAAAGGCCTCGACTGCACAGACCCTGCTCAGGAATAATTAAAATATCCATGCTGTCCACCCCGTTCCCAACAGGGGGTTTGGTGCCTCCAGGATGGGGTTTGGTGGCTCTGAGAGGAGATTTCATTCCCCTAGGATGGGATTTTATGCCCCCAGAAGGAGGTTTGGTGCCTCCAGGATGGATTTTGGTGCCTCCAGGGTGGGATTTGTTGCCCCCAGGCCTTCCTGGTGACCCAGCTCTGCCAGGTCTTCTCCCACAGCTGGAGCTGGAATTCCTGCTGTGGGACAGCCCACACTGAGGGATTTTTAAGGCCAGGAGGTGTCCAAATTGCACAACCAGAGCTGTGGTGGCTCCTAAAGAGGTGCAAATTCTGCTTCCTGAGATTTAAAGTCGTTGGCTTTGGCAAAAACCTTTGGGTGGCCCTGGATGGGCTTTAAGGTCCCTTCCAACCCAAACCATTCCATGATTTTTGTGACCAGGAGGGTCACAGCTCCTCCATCCACTGCCTGCCAGGGATGTTGAGGACACTGGGAGCAGTCATCCCTCCAAACCTACTCTCCAAGGAGAAGAGGTTTAATTCATGTTTAAGTCCATTTTTAGACCTTCTTTCCCACTCCCTGTGACCAAGTCCTGGGACTCCAGGCAGTATTGCTTCCCCTGTCTCTGTGTGTCCCCATCCTGGATTAAATGGTACTCCTGGGGTTTGTTCCACGGGGATACAGCTCTTAATTCAGGATTCAGCTCTTAATTCCTGATTCATTTTGTTGTTTGCTGAGCCTTTAAGGCCCCGGTGACACTTTCCCAGCTCGTGTCTCACGACGTGCACTCGCTGCAGGTTCCAGCCCACGGGAAGTGCTGTGCCTGGAGTGACACGTGGTTAACATGGAGAGAACAGGCTGGGAGCTGGGATCTGCTCTGCTAACTTTATCTGAATGCCCTGTCAGGTGATATCTTGGATTATGTCCTTGCCCAGAGAAGCTGTGGCTGCCCCTGGATCCCTGAAATTGTCCAAGGGCAGGTTGGAGCAACCTGGGCTGGTGGAAGGTGTCCCTGCCCATGGCAGGGGTGGCACTGGATGGGCTTTAAGGTCCTTCCAACCCAAACCATTCCATGATTCTGTGGTTGCACCTAAACCAGGAGGTCAACTGCTGGAGGTTTCTGGTGCCCCCAACAGCAGGAGGATGTGGAGCTGCTGGAGAGAGTCCAGAGGAGGCTCCGGAGCTGCTGCCAGGGCTGGAGCCCCTCTGCTCTGGAGCCAGGCTGGGAGAGCTGGGGGGGTTCCCCTGGAGAAGAGAAGGCTCCAGGGAGAGCTGAGAGCCCCTTGCAGGGCCTAAAGGGGCTCCAGGAGAACTGGAGAGGGACTGGGGACAAGGGATGGAGGGACAGGACACAGGGAATGGCTTCCCAGTGCCAGAGGGCAGGGATGGATGGGATAGTGGGAAGGAATTCGTGGATGGCAGGGTGGTGAGTGATGAATTTCCCAGAGCATCTGTGGCTGCCCCTGGATCCCTGGAAGTGTCCAAGGGCAGGTTGGACGGGACTTGGAGCAACCTGGGACAGTGGAAGGTGTCCCTGCCCATGGCAGGGGGTGGCACTGGATGGGCATTAATGTCCCTTCCACCCAAACCATCCTGGGATTCCATGAATTCCCAAGAGCATCCTTGGTGACTGAGGTAGGATTTTAGGATTTTGATCGGCTTTAGGATTTTTCCATTGGGAAATGCAGCGGGGGGTGGGGGGAGCAGCCACTGTGATAACACAGTTTGCTCCTTCTCCTGACTGGGAAACCAATTAAATTGTCATCTGTCCAACTCCACCCTCCCCAGGGATCAGGATTTGACTTTAACATTTCCGTGGCTTAATTCGGGCGCGTGTGATCCGGGAGGGCAGCGCCGGGTCCCGCCTCGTGCTGCTTTTCCACAGAGACCATATGTCTCATTAGCATTATGGAAATAATTTACTTGACATTCGCAGCGTTCCAGCCTCCCCTTTTCTGCTTTTCAACCCTCCGGGTCTTTCCCACCTCGCACCTCACACCCCTTCTCCACTCAGGTCTGGCCTAAGGGGCGCCTCGTTTTGCACCAAATCTCGGTGGCTCTTTGAACTCCAGAGCACTCAGGGAACCTGCAGGTCAACACTGGGCCAGGGGGTTGAATTTATCACCGGGGAGGTCCCTCAGGAATCAGAACATTCCATTGGCATTTCTAAAAATAGGGAGGGTGACTTGTCAGCTCTTCGCCGCTTGGCTCCCGTGGAAGGGGAGGAGTCGTGGAAAACTGTTGGTGAAAAAGCATCTGAGATGGTTCAGCACGTTAACATCCTGTCAGGAGAAGTTGGTCTTGGGGTGGTGCTGGGCCTTGGAGTGCAAAAAATCTTGCCTAAAATATGTAAATAAAGAATAAAGGAGGAATTGTCTTTGTGTGCGTGAAATCAGGGTCTACAGACACTGAAGTGGAGGAGAGTGTGGGTGACGTTGGCTGGAGTGACCTGACATCAAAGGAGATGCACTCCAAGGCCGTCCATGGGCTCTCTGATTCATCAGGGGGTTGACACAGCTCTTAAAATGCATTTTTGGGATAATTTAGGGGTGCGAGAACTTGTCTGGACCTGATGATCCAGCACAAAGGAGGCTCGGGGGGACCTTCTGGCTCTGCAAGTCCCTGACAGGAGGGGGGAGCCGGGGGGGGTCGGGCTCTGCTGCCAGGGAACAAGGGACAGGCCAAGGGGAAACGGCCTCAGGCTGGGCCAGGGGAGGGCCAGGTTGGATGTTGGGAAAAATTCCTTCCTGGAAAGGGTTTTCCAGCCCTGGCACAGCTGCCCAGGGCAGGAGTGGAGTCCCCATCCCTGGAGGGATTTCCAAGCCCTGTGGATGTGGCACTTGGGGACGTGGTCAGTGGTGGCCTTGGCAGTGCTGGGGACGGTTGGGCTCTGTGGTCTCACGGGCTTTTCCATCCCAGATGATCCCATGGCTGGGAATGCCGTGGATGGGCACTGAACGCGTCTGAACCAACACAGGGACTTTCTCGGCCACCCCCTCAACCCCTCCCTGCCTTTGTGTTTTGCAGCTGAAACCCCGATCGAGGAGTTCACCCCCACCCCGGCCTTCCCAGCGCTCCAGTACCTGGAATCAGTGGACGTGGAAGGAGTCGCTTGGAGAGCGGGGCTGCGCACGGGGGACTTTCTGATCGAGGTGAGTGTGGCCACGGCGTCCTCCAGGGCCCGCCTGGTCATGGGGTTCTTGTCCCCCATGAGGTGTTTTGGGACGTGTGGCCTCTCCCAGGCGGGTGGTGGCAGCTGTGTCACTCGGGATGGGGACATTTCGGCTGCTCCCCCAGCAGAGGCTGATTTAAGGAGTGGTTCTGAAGAGGGAACCACTTGATCAGTTGGTGCTTTAGGGACTGGGCTTGGAGAAAAGTATAAGGGGTGTTACTGTGGGACCTGCAGGTGACAATGGTGTCCTGAGCAGGGTGGGTTTGGGGTGAACAGACCAGGCCTGGGTTTCTGAAGACCGGAGAAGAGGCTCTTCCAGTGAGGCAGCCAAAGAATGGTCAAAGTGTTGGTCACTCGGTTGGTCTGTTCCGTGTCTTGGTTCCAAAGGATCCCAGAGAGTTGGTTTCCAACAAGGATGTGCAGCGTTGGGGCAGGAAGGGATGTGGGACAGATCCTGCCCCTTCCAAGGGAGCGCTGCTGGCAGGAGGGGTGGGATGAGGCCGGATGGATGTGGAGTCTGTGCAGTGACCATGGATTAACACAACCTGGGGGTGACCTGAGGAGAAGGACTTGGGGTGTTGGTGGGTGAGAGGCTGGACATGACCCAGCCCAGAACTCCCTGTGCCCTGGGCTGATCCCACGGGGATCGTGGGCAGCAGGAGAGGGGGGGATTCTGCTCCTCTGCCCACTCAGGGGAGACCCTCCCCTCCTGCAGAGCTGCTCCAGCCCTGGGAACAACAGCAGGAGGACGTGGAGCTGCTGGAGAGAGTCCAGAGGAGGGCACGGAGCTGCTACCAAGGCTGGAGCCCCTCTGCTCTGGAGCCAGGCTGGGAGAGCTGGGGGGGTTCCCCTGGAGAAGAGAAGGCTCCAGGGAGAGCTGAGAGCCCCTGGCAGGGCCTGAAGGGGCTCCAGGAGAGCTGGAGAGGGACTGGGGACAAGGCATGGAGGGACAGGACACAGGGAATGGTTTCATACTGAAAAGGGATTTTTGGAATAAAGCTGAACTGGTCTTACTGGCACTGCTGGCACTGGTGGGCACTGGTGGGCACTGGTGCTTGGCCAGCTCAGCTCTGGTGATTTGCTTTGGGGGTCTGAAGGTTGTGCTGAAAACTGGATATTGGGAAAATTCCTTCCTGGAAAGGGCTGCCCGGCCCTGGCACAGCTGCCCAGGGCAGGGGGGGAGTCCCCATCCCTGTGGATGTGGCACTTGGGGACATGGGGCAGTGGTGGCCTTGGCAGTGCTGGGGGATGGTTGGACTCAATGGGCTCAGAGGGCTTTTCCAGCCTAAATATATATCTTTAAAAGGCTCTTTTCCATGGATATTTCTCACCCCTGTGCCAGGGAGGAGCCCCCAGCTCCCACCTGGGCTCTGTGGGACCTTTCTGGCAATCCTTTTTCCTCGGCCATGGAATGTATAGTTGATGGGAAGGCTGCAGGACCAATGATCCCAAACCTACAAACCCTTCCAGAGCTGATCCTTTTCCCGCTCAGACATTTCAGGAATATCACAGAGCAGGGGATTCAGGAATTTTCAGGTGCACATGGGGCGTGGGGAGCGGGTCGGTGGGAGAACCTCGGCCCTCTCCCTTCCTTCCCAGTTGGATGTTGAGCTGCAGAATAAATAACTGTGCTTCCTGGTTCCCATTCCCTCTGGAGCAGCAGGAGGAGCTGAGCTGACCACCCCCGTGGCTGCCAAGCGTGAGTGGTTTCCCGGGAAGGGAAGCTGGAGGTGGCTTTAGAATGAGCACAGCAGCTCTGCCGCAGTGGAGAGCCACATTCCAAGGGGGATATTCCAAAAGGGAGATGTTGGCACAGAGCTTGAAACCCTCGGGCAGGTCTCTGGGAACGCCCTCACTGACCTTTCCAGGTGTTTGGATTAGGGAGGTGTTCAGTTTAGGTGGAAAGTGTGTGGGATTTTGGAGTTTGAAACTGTCCTTTAGAGGTTAAATGAAAGAATTAATTAAATAATTATTAAATGAAGGTGAAATTAATCTTTATTCTTTTAGCTTTAAGGGTTTCTTAGTCCTGGAGGTGAGTGCTGGACAGGGAGGGAGGTGTAAAGTGCTTCCACACTGGAGTCAGCAAATCCCAATAAAGAAGTGGATCAGCCCCCTGGTCAGCATTCCAGACCCTTGGGATGAGGCAGTGGGGGAGGATCTCTCCAGGTCACCCCTGGTCAGCATTCCAGACCAGGTGGGAAGCCCTGAGAGGCGTTTCCAGGTTGGGAAGTGTTTGGTGACAGGGACAGTCTCCATGTGAGAGCTGCTGGATCAGCTCTGGAGCCACAAATGGCTCCTTCCTGCAGGGACCAGTGGCAGGACAATGCCTGGATCCCAGAGCCCAACTGCTGGGGACAGGAAAGGGGCAGGATGGACCACCTGGAGCGGGATCTGACCCACACATGGATCCCCCAGGCCATGGACCATTGGTCTATCCAGTCCTGTCTCCAGTTCCCAGATGTCTCTGGCACCAACACAAACCAGTTCCCTGCTGGCAGCTCCAGCCTTTCCAGTAGCCAACTCTCAAACCAGTCTGGTCACTCCAGTAACAAGTTCCCAGCACTCCCAGTCTCTCCAGTAACAAGTTCCCAGCACTCCCAGTCTCTCCAGTAACTGCTCAAGGTCTGCCTGCATTTGGTCCTCTCACAGCACCTCCGAAGGTCTGGCACCATCCCAGGATGCTGTTCCTGGCATTCCAGGATGAGTCCCACAGCCCTGCAGGCAGCAGTTCCTGTAGGACCACAGGGTGACACAGAGAGATCTCCCCATGGACTCATCCCAGGGGCCTGGAACAGGGATGGAGACTCATCCCAGGGCTCTGGAATGCAGAGCAGGGGTTACCTGGAGAGATCCCCCCCACTGCTCTGAGCTCTCCCTGGAGCCTTCCCTTCTCCAGGGGAACCCCCCCAGCTCTCCCAGCCTGGCTCCAGAGCAGAGGGGCTCCAGCCCTGGGAGCAGCTCCATGCCTGCCTCTGGATTCCTCCAATGGAGGCAGCAGCTCTTCCAAGAATTCCCTGACCTGTTGCTTCCCCACTGGCTCATGTTACATCGTCTGCTCCCCTCCGAGCTCTGGGAGCTCACTTTGTCCCTGAACACTGAGACAAAAAGCCAAGTTAAGCCTGACTTTGGTCCTGTCTAACTCCTCCACGGCTGATTTTTCATCTGCAGAGTCGCATTTTCCCTGAACTTCCTTTTGGTGCCACTGTGCCACTAAAAATATCCCTGTTCTGCCTCAAGTCTGTTCTCAGTCTTTGCTCCAGCCGGGCTTTGCCCTTCCTGACGCTGTCCCGGGTGCTGGAGCTGTGCCCGTGTGCCTGTCACCACATTCCTCAGAATCCCAGGATCCCTGAGGCTGGAAAAGCCCTCCCAGCCCATGGATCCACCCTGTGCCCCATCCCCACCTTGGCCCCCAGCCCAGAGCACTGAGTGCCACGGCCAGGCCTTCCTGGGACACCTCCAGGGCTGGGCACTGCAAACCTCCCTGGGCAGCCCCTGCCAAGGCCTCACCACCCTTTCCACCAACAAATTCCTCCTCAGCCCCAACCTGACCCTCCCCTGGCCCAGCCTGAGGCCGTTTCCCCTTGGCCTGTCCCTTGTTCCCTGGCAGCAGAGCCCGACCCCCCCCGGCTCCCCCCTCCTGTCAGGGACTTGCAGAGCCAGAAGGTCCCCCCTGAGCCTCCTTTGCTCCAGGATGAGCCCCCCCCAGCTCCCTCAGCCCCTCCTGCTGCTCCAGACCCTTCCCAGCTCCCTTCCCTTCCCTGCACACGCTCCAGCCCCTCCAGGTCTCTCCTGTCTGAGGGGCCCAGAACTGCCCCCAGAATTCCAGGGGGGCCTCTCCAGTCCTCCAGGTGTGGATCAACAGGGATCCAGGTCCCCAGGGGATGGAACTGCCAGCAGCTCTCCAGGATCAGGAGGATCCCGTGTCCCCACATTGCCTTTGGAATTCCCCATCCCTGGAGGGATTTCCAAGCCCTGTGGATGTGGCACTTGGGGACAGGGGTCAGTGGTGGCCTTGGCAGTGCTGGGGGATGGTTGGATTTGATCTCAGAGCGCTTTTCCAACCTCAGTGATTCCATGATTCCATGAAAAACATGCCAACAGTTACACCATCAGGCAATTCCTACTCACCTGAGGACAGTGGGATGCCTCCAGGCTGGGGAATTGCCCAGTTTAGGACTGGATTAGACCTGTCAGTGTGGGGGACTTTTTAAAAATCCAACCAGGATTCCAGAGCACAATCCATAGTGTCCAGCCTTGTGCCTCCCCTTGAGCCTGTCAGGGTTTAAATCCCAGGTTTTCTTCCTGTGGTGTAACAACAGCCTTTGTGTGTTCACTTCCATGTTGGACTCACATTGATCACCTTGGAGTGGGCACCCAGGACTTGGGATAACATATGCAGATAAATCTGTGGATATAAATTCCAACGATATAAATTTGCATGTTTTCACTCTTTGGGGCTGGATAACACAGTTGTACAAAAGGTTTGGTTGAAGGAAATGGGAATTAATATCGAGCTGGGATCTCAGAGCAGTGAGAAGCTTCTGGGGCAACCCCAACACCACCAGGGGAGGTTTAGGTTGAATTTTAGGAAATATTTCTTCGTGGAAAAGGTTGGAAAGCAATGGAAGGGGCTGCCCAGGGCACTGGTGGAGTCACCATCCCTGGAAATGTTCAAAAAACACATGGATGTGGCACCTGGGGACATGGACATGGTGGTGGGTGTGGTGGTTGGATTTGATGATCTTAAAGGTCTTTTCCAACCTCAAGGATTGTGTGATTCCATGATTTTGCTGTTGTTTCCTTGTGGGTGAGGAAAAAACCTACTCTGGCCACAGTCATTCCCTCGGGAAATGTGTCCTGGGAATCTCATCTGCCTCTCCTGGAGTGTTGCTACTGCCAGATAATGCAGTGGAATATTAGTTGGTATTTGAGTTAATTGGAATATCTCCTCTGGAGCCAGGCTGGGAGAGCTGGGGGGGT